GTGATGGCACAGGAAAAGGCATCGTCCCTGACCTTGCTGGCTCTTGGGACTTAAGGAATGAAGTCAAAGGAAACGCAAATGTCATGTGACAAGGGCAAGTTAGGAACATACATGAAGGGGCCCAGACCCAGTTTCTGTGTGTGGGGAGCGGCCTGAAGAACCACAGGGCTGGGAGGAAGGAGGAGGGGGTTGCAGGGTGAGGGGTGCCTTCTGGGAAGACAGCCACACGTGTGCAGGTCTGACGGCAAGAGGGAGCAAGCTCACTCAAAGATGAAAAGTTTCAACAAGCCCGCAGCTGGGAGTGCCTGCAGGGAGGGGCCAGGCATGAGGCCAGGCAAATGGGCTGAATCCAAAGGAACCGTCCAGTCCTGTTAGAGTCTGGGCCTCGTTCTAAGCACAGGGGAGAGACACAGAAACGTCCAAACCTGTGGGTGATGAGGTGACATCACTAGAAGGATGCGTGGAGGGACGTGTTTTGGGGCAGAGAAGCCATCACATGGGCTGTCCATATTCCATACGGGAAGACCTGGGTAGGAGTCCCACGGGGCTACTGATTCCAACTTCCTGCTGAAACACATGCTGGGAGACACCAGGAAGTGGCTCACAGACTTGGGCACCTGCCAGTCCTGTAGAAGACATGGATGGAGTTCCTGGCTCTGATTTCAGGCCTAAGCCTGGCCCAGCCCTGGCTATTGTGTGGATTCAGGGAATGAACTGTTTGAAGGAGTGTGTCCTGTTCTCACTCTCTTGCTCTGCTTTTCAAAAAGAGTGAACAGAAATTGGTCAAGCTAGAGGAAGAACATCAGTTAGTGGCCAGTTCCAAAAGGAGGTGATGAGACTGAGCTTGAGGCCAGGAGATGCATAGAATGAGAAGGAGCGGGGATTAATTGTCATCGTCGAGCAGGCAGTCCCCAGCAAATGGTGATGGAGTTGAAGGAAGGGAATGAGTGCTGCTTTCAGAGAAGGCAGCCCAGTCACTGTGTTCTGATCTGATTGGCTGAAATATCCTGGCTTGGGACAGGAGTGTGGAATTAGAAAGAAGAACTGGTCTGTATTCGTCATTTTCTACTGCCCTTACAAAATACCCTAGGCTGGGTATTTCATAGACAGAACAGGTTTACTTACTTTGTAGTTCTGGAGGTTGAAGTGCAAGGTCAGGTGCCCTATGGTTTGGCCTCTGATGGGGGGAGAGGGGGCTCTTGGAGGACAACATCACAACGGTGAGACTGGAGGCCAAGAGGTTCCAGGGTCATCGTTGCTCTGTTTATAACAACTTAGTCTCTTGGGAACTAACCAGGGTCCCATGAAAGCTACCTTAACTCCTTCCTAGGGGAGAGCCACCAATGACTTTGAGATCTGCCTAGACGCTGCACCTCTTCATGGTCAACTACCCTTGAACATTACCACTCTGGAGTGGCTTCCAACACATGGACCTCTGGTAGCCACCCTCAACCACATCCCAACCTTTGTACACCCTTCCAACTGGCCCAGATGAAGGCAAGATGGCCAACTCTCTCTGATTCAGCCAGATGCTGGCTTCTTTTTGGGAGGGAGGATAACCTTGGGTGAGATAGTGCCTCCAGACAGTGACAAGATGAAGCCGGGGTAACGTACACTGAGGGACTTAGCTGGGAGTTGTCAGCACCAAATTATTTTCAGCAGCTAGAATTGCCTGTATGCCCTGAAGAGATAACCTAGAGAAATAACCTTACAGCTGTCACGGTAGTGGCAAAATATTTCAAGTTTAACTTGTATTTCCTTGGAGGTGCCCATGGAGTTTACGACGCATCCTTAGTTAACAGGAACTATAGGACAGGAGCAGCAAAATGCTAGACCATCCCTTAGTTAAGGTGAGCTGTAGGACCAGCACAGCACAGGAAGGTGGGGCGGGGGATGATGCGAGGATTTAGGCTCACTGCAGGAGACTCCTGGGGACTCAGTCTCCATTTCCTGTGTTTCCTTCTTAAGGCTGAAAGTGCTCTATGGATTAAGCATGGTGACTTTCCAGCTTCCTCTTCCTTGGCTTCCCCTTCTCTTGGGGAGTAGAAGTGAACCCACACGGAAGTTTGGAGAGGGAAGCGCACAGGTGAGGTACAAAAATCTGACGCAGTTCCCAGCATGCTTCTCCTCTGGATTATGGTTTATTAAAGATGATTCTTTGTATCCTACCCCCAGATCTCTGGTTCTTCCTTGATTCCTAGAAACACCAGCCCTCCCCTGTACCTAGCCTTCAGTTCCCTTTGCTAGGCACCAGGCCAGTTTTCCAGCATTTAGGCTGAGAAAAGAGCTGGCAGGAGGGGAGTATTAATGGATCTTTCCAGGAGCCAGGACCTAGGAGGTCCTCCTCCCCCTGGGGCCTCCTCCACCACAACGACCAACTCTGAGCCTAACCCCCTCCCTTGGGGTCTGGGAGCCAGAGGCCTCTGCAGGGGTTTGCTAACTGGGCCTCAGAAGAGGGGAGGTAGTTTTGCTACAGAAAACCTGTTTATGGCCTCCCCAACAAAGCATTAGAGGAATCTTCCCAGTTGGAATTGTCACATTTCAACCTGGTTATTGATTTTATTTTCAGCCGAGATCAGGCGTTCAGGGTGGTATGGCCGTAGACGGACTTTATTTTCAAGGGGGCATATTTTTTTGTTGGAAATAAAAAAAACTTCGTTCTTTGCATTTTATTCTTAAAGATAAAAGATGAGCTTTTTTCCCTCTCCCCTTTGCTGGTTACGAATCTTTTTATTATGCAAGGGTCAAACAGCATAATTCCTTTAAAAACAGGCTAACAAATTTAACACATTAGACTATATAAACGCCTAGGCCTAGTTTGGTTTTGAGCTAAAACTGTGAAGCTCAAATCTTGGGGCTTACAGCCCTGTGCAAGGCCTTTAGATGATGAGATTAGTAAAAGGTTTTTCTTTTTTGTTCCTTCTCCTTTCCCTCCACTTTGTGTGTGTTTTGCCTAACAAAGGAATTTCCCCAATTTGATAATGGAATTTGGGAGGCAAGTATGATATAGACATGCTTCTGCAGAACTGGCTTGCAACAACAAAAGAATACAAACAAAAAAACAACTGGAGCTGGGATTTTGCAGTACACCTAGTGGAGGAAAAACCAAGCACATGAAGAGTTAGCAATAAAAACTGCAACAAGGCAATCCCCAAGGGTTTGGAATTCCTTTAGTTTCTATTTGGCGGATGAATCATGATTCCTTTGTTCTGTTCTTTGCTATCTACTACATTCGAATAACAGTTCTATTTCATTCTTGCAATGGAGTTACTGAATCTATTGTTGCCGGAAGCAGTGCACCAGATAGCCTTACCGCTGTGGAATTAACAGAATTAGTCATTTTGTGTTGATTTTTCGAAGGGTATAGTGTCCATTTTTTTTTTTTTAAACTTAGAATAAAAAGCTGCTATGCAATGCAAGGATTTTGCAAAGAGACTAAGTGGGGTGAGTCACTTTTAGCTACTGGGCTACCTGGCCATGCGGTGTCTCTGAAATCATCTTAACAAAAAAATAGAAAGGGGGATCATTTGCAAGAAATCATTATCTTTGGCTTTTTCATTGCTTATAGTATTCTGAGCAGTTGCAATGATACTTGTCACGGTTTGTGCAAGTGATGAATTGTGCTTTTAAACCAAATTTCCTCCAGCCGAGGCTGCAGCAAAAGATGGGGCTTTGTATGCAGCGTGCCTCACAAAGTGTTTGGCTTTATGAAGGCACAGGGCCCTTATGTACCCGACTTTATGATCAGCAATTCAGGCTTTACTTTTGTTAATACAACTCTGGGTACCATTGAAATGCTGCTTCTCCCGGTTCTTAGGAAAAGGGTGTGGGGGAGGGGTGAGAGTATTTTAAATAAACACATTCCAAATCTGCAAAACCTGGAATTTTACGAAGGTGCACACATAATAAAACCCCTCATATTGCAATACGCATAGCATATCCAGTTTTCAAATGAGCAGGTCCATGTGTATTTTCTCAATGCCTATCCTGTTCTCACATGCATATTAATAAAGGCCTACCATTGGGGAGAAGGGAAAAAAAGGGCTTCTTTTCCAATGAAATCAAGCCCAGGTAGAGTTGAAACTCAACCCGCAGAGCCCTTGGCATTGTTTTCGGGCTCCAAGTTTAAATTTCATCATCTTGTAACACTGATCAATGTTGATGCTTGGGACTGGCAAAATCTGCAGCCCACAGAGGACTAAATGTGTGTAAATACGTATACGGTATTCCAGCAAACGTGCAGTCCAGGCAATTTGGTGCTTAAAATTAAGGACAACCCTTCTGGAGGCAATAATTCGGGTCATTTGCATGAAGAGTCTTAAAACAGAAAAAACAGCTACTTGCACTTACATCATACAGTGCCCCTAGCACGGAGAACAACAGCCTCCATGGTAGAAGCCAGAGAGAGGCTTACTGAGGCTTTTTTTAAACTTCTCAGCACACTCTGCAAATATCAACTAATCAATCTAACTGAAAATAAAGCACGGAGTCTTCCCGGTCACACGAGTGTCTTCAGAGTCAGTTCCGAGGCAAGACTTTGAAAGAGGTTCTGGTGGCATTTTATCCAGGTCCTTCCATTTTGTCCTATTTCCAGCCAGCACAATTAGCTTGACATGGTGGTGGTGGTGGGGAGAGTATTTCTCTCTGGTTTTAAAAATCCTTCCAGTGGCTTGCAAGTCTGTGAACAATACAGGAAGGAGGATGCGGGGGCTGGAAAAATAGCAGCCCTCCTCTGGAATGGCAGTCCCGACCTGCCTGCTCATAGGACGGGTTACCCCTGCACACTTTTAGCCGGTCTAAACCTGTATTTTCATCGTTCTGAAGGCTACGACCACCTGCTGTAGGTACAATATGTGCCTGTTATATTTGAATATTGTCTCCTCCCTAGAACTTAAGAGATTCAGCTGTTACATCTTGTTTACTCAGTATCATTCCCCCCTAAAAAAAAACCCCAAAAAACAAAAACCCCAAAACTAACAACCCTACACGAACCGAACATCCCAGGTTTCAATCTGGCCCCAGTGGCTTTTTCTCTGAAAGGCAACGTGTGTCTTTTACACCAGGGCTTTCTCTCCACCCCAGGGGGTGTCTTCCATCCTTTTGTGGCTCGGTTTAAGGCGAAAAGGGCTCCAAACCACCAACCACCCTGAGGAGTGCCCCCTTCGTCCACCTCCAGGGAGAATTTCAGATTTCATTTAGCTGAAGATAGCATGCTGTCTTCTCACTTGTTTCCCACCATTACGAGGACAACAAAACACCACCTTGGCTTCAAGATCCTGGCTTAGAGGCGCACGGTCTTTTGCAACCATCTTGGGAGAGGCCTTGCTTCCTTCCACTCGAGTAAGTTGCGGCTGGGGGCCATGGCAAGGACTGGGTGCGAGCCTGCCATGTCGTGTGAAACCCAGCAAGCCCTCCCTCCGTCCCCTCGCCACCACCAGCCCGCTATGCTCTCCGGGGCGAAGCTGCAATCCAGCAGCCCCATATGGGCGAGACTTGGCAGGTCTGCGGGGCGCTTCTCGGCAGCCGCCGGACTCGGAGGGGCTCGGAGCGACCGGGCGTCGGCGCCCGCCGGCCGCGGGGCTTCCCGCCGCCTTTCCCCGAGTCTTCCCTTCCCCCACCGGCCGCCCCCTCCCCCTCGCCCGCGCTCCCTTTTGTTCGCTCGCCGCCCGGGCCGAGCCGCCGCCGCCGCCCGGGCCCGCACCCCCAGCGCTAGGCCCCGGCGTGGCGGGCCGGCCGCCGCCGCCGCCGCGCGGCCTAGAGCGCGGCGCCCGGGGAGGCGTGGGGCCCGGGCCGGGCTCACGGCGAGGCCGCGGTAGCGGCGGCGGCGGCGGCGGCCGGGGAGCCGGGCGGCGGCTGCGGCGGCGACGACGAGGCCGCTCCACGGCACACGCACACACAGACCCCGGCGGCGGGAACGCAGATGACACGCCCGTAACATGGAAGCCGCCGCCGCCGCCGCCGCCGATGACAGCAGCAGCAGCAGCAGCAGCAGCCCAGCCGGCGGCGCCGCGCTGAACAAAGGTCATCCGAGCTGCGGCCCAGACGCCCGGGCTTGACCGCTGCGAAGGCCAACCCCGGGCACGGGGTGGGTGTGCGCCTCCGGGGTCGGGGGCGGCCGGCGAGGGAGGGGCGCGGGTGGGCGCCGGCGGGGAGACGTGTGGGTCGGGGGCGACGTGGGGCGCCGGCTCCCCAGTGCCCGGCCCTGCGGGGCCGGGTGTGGCGCGTGTGAGGCTCAGGCCCCTTGGCCTCGCGGCAGCGGCCTGTTCCCCACCCTGGCCCTGGGGACGGCGGGCCTGCGCCGCCCGCCAGCGGCCCTGGGGGGCCCAGGGCGAGCCGGCCTAGCTAGGCCCCGGCAGCCGGGAGAGGGGGCCACGTGAGCGCCGCCTGTGCCGCCCCCGGGCTGTGTGGAGCAGGCCTTGGGGCTCCCTCTTCCCCGCGGCCTGGGCCCCCACCGCGGCCCCAGTTTCCTTCCCTGAGGTGAAGAAGGGATTTGGGCTTCTCTCCCCCCACCCCCAGGTGCTTGAAAGAAGAGAAGGTTGGAGGAGGAGGAGGAGGAGGAGGAGACTGGGGGGCTGCTGGTGGTGGTGACAGGGCTGGGAGAGCGAGCCGAGGGACGGAAGGGAGGAGGGGGTTGGGTGGGGTGGGGGTGACATGCAGAGAGGAGCCCGGTCAACAAGCCAGCACCACTCTGCTAGAGGCCAGGCCGGCTCCCGCAGCCAACGCATCCTGTGTGTGAGGAGACACACGCAGTGCTTTCCTGGGGGCTCGGCCACCAACACGGGGAACACACACTGACACACACGTACACACAGATCTGAGCCAGGTTGTGGGAGGTAAGTGGGGGAAGGCGAGGAGGGGGCAGCAGTGTGTGCGGTGGGCTCCGGACTGCAGGGACGGGGGGATGGGCCCTGAGGGGAGCTGGGGTGCTGGTGAGGTGCGCCTGGGCCACCCTGGGCACTAGTGCTGCTTCTGCTGCTGCTGCTGCTACTGGTTGGGGTGGGGTAGTGTGGGGTAGGGTAGGGGAAGGACACATGATGACCCGCCCCGCCTCTGGAAAGCACCCCCAGCCAGGTCTCCCCCCTGTGCTGATGATTTTCAGGGACTTGTTGGCAACTCAGCGAGGGTTGCCATAGCTTTTTTATGTAGGGTGACCAGAACCGGCTGAAACTGGTTTGAGGCAGATCAGCTCCTGAACACAATGCAGTCACTGAGCTCCTACAGTGGGATAGCAGCTTCCTCCCTTCATGGCAGCCAAAAGCAGAGGCGCTGGCAGGAAGGTTCCATCCCAACACAGTATGTGAATGCACACTTAGGCACCACACAGCACTGGTACGTGACGAATGGAGCCCTGAACGAGTCTGGCTAGAGAAGGTGGAGGAAAAGGGGCAGGTTTGCAGGATCTGAGGTTACGTGGGCTTTTCCTGCCTTTTTTCTTTTTGCTTAAGGGATGGACAAGGAGCTGAGATTTATGACCCTTATTAAAGGAAAAAGAAATAATGTGTCTTGCCAAGGTGGGGACACTTGGCTTATGCAGGCTCTCGTGGTCTGTGATTTTAGCAAAACCAAACCAAACTGAACTGATGGGGTTGTAATGGTAGTTTGTTTGTTGCTGGGGAATGCTGCTTTGCATGCCTTTCTTCTGCAGGCTATGGGCTCTGTTCTGTTTTGTATTTTTTTTTTCTCTTTAGAAGCTACTAAAGGGTGTTGGGGCTACTTCTGACTATTATGAAGTCCAAAAGGTAACAGTATTGTTCTAGAAAATGAGCATAAATGCATTCCAGTGATGCTGTGAGCCATACATGCTGTCTTTTTTTTTTTCCTTGTAGGCCTGTTGGCTGGGGCTGCTTTTAACCCTTTCCTATTTGCAGAGAATGCAACCGTGCGACAGTAACTGAACAGTGGTCCACAGTCTTTCCAAAGGGTCAAGGTTCAAAAGGTGAGATGCATTGTTTTGAGCATGAATTTGTAAATATTTATTTGCAGATCCATTCAGAAGCGGGCTGACAGTGGATTGGTACCCTGGAGATAAAGTGGGGCTCAGAGTGGAGAAGAAATAATGCTGAATTTTCTCCAGGTTTAATGGGATTAGAATGACTTTGTGGTGGCATTGCTAATGGGAGACAAAAACCTGAATGCCCTCGTTCAGTCGTATGTGCCTGGGCGTTTGGGAGAGTGGGCCCTGGAAAGCAGCAAGCTGGGAGAAGGGTAGGCGTCAGGGCCTGGTGGAGAGTGTGCTTGCTGTTTTGCCTAAGACTGCATCGGGACACATGCGGCGTTTCCCTAGGATGGTGGGGCTGGCGAGGGGCTCCACCAGATCGAGGCCGCCTGGCTGCCTGGGTAGGACTTGAGGAGCCTGAAGGTAGACTCTCCTTTTGTTCCTGTACCACCTTGCTTTCCCTTGGCTCTGCGGACACACCTTGGAAGGTATTTTCCAGTCCGAATCCCGTGGTGGAATGTCTTTTATTGATTTCGGGGGGCCGTGGATGGTGAGTTGGCCATTGGATTCTTTGTGGCATACATTTTCGGTGTGGAATGCTAACGCAGCACAGGAGGGAACCGGGGCCGTCTGGCTTCCTGCATGCCTTCGCGCATGAAAAAGGTGCCTGTTAGCCCAAAGCTTCTCTGTCCCAGATGGCAGAGGGGGGAGATCACCGTCCGATCTGAGCTGGCTTTTTTTTTTTAAGGCACCTTCCAGAATTGGAGCTTTGAGAAGAGGGGGTGGGGAAGCCAGCAGTCAGGAGAGTAGCAAAGTGAAGAACAAAGGCTGCTGCGAGAGAGCTTACCAGGGGAACTCAAGACATTTTGCCTTGGGGTTCCTGGTGAAAAAGAACTGCAACTTCCCCAAACAGGAAACCAGTAGCTCCAGAATCCATCCAGTGTGATCTCAACAACAGACTGACCAGTTGTGCCTTTCTGCTGGTACAAAGTACAGTGAGAGGAGCCCATAGGAAACTCGGTGGAGAGTCACTCCCCTTCCCCGCTTCTTGAAAGAGGGTATTTTGCTCCTCTCTGAGCCTTTTCTGAAATGGATTTTAGATTGGGTGGCTGGGTGGTGTGCTGGGGTGGGTGTGGGGTGGGTGTGCCTGGTACCCTCGAGGAAGGGTGTGAACTATGCAAAGGGTTTCATTGTTCAAATGTTTTTTCTATCTGGCTGCAGAACATCACCCACTGTGATAAAACCGGCAAAAGGGCCTGGTTAGCTTGGAACACTTCAACAGCCTTTAATAGAGCTAAATGTGACCTCAGGCGGATAGACCAGGGCAAAGCTTATATGATGGGACAGAAAAGTAGTGTGCTGAAATTGGTTTTCAGTTCTACCTCAGTTTTTGGGATGCCCAAGGTACTGCGTGAGCCTGGGGCTAGAGAGATGCTTACGAAGCAGATCCGAATCCATGTTGCATGATGGGCGGCTGCTGCTGCTGCTTTTTTGATGCCAACTAAAACTCAGATGGCCAGCGTGATAAGCCTTCATTAGCTTAATGCAGTAAGCCGCATGGTCATTTAGTCCTTCGTTTCTGTCTTTGGGAGCCTCTGTGGTTTTTATTTAACTTTGACAGCTAGTGACTGTCTTGAGACTTCTGTTAATAAAAAAAAAAACAAAAGTAAAAAAACAAAAAAACCCACCTTTTTTTAGGCATTGCCTGCCCTGGAATGTTCTGGTTTACTCTCCTGGTGGCTTTTGGCTTTGTTACTCCCCTTCCCCCACTCCCCACCCCCAGAAGACTTCTGAAAATAGCAGTTGTTTTGCATCCGGGCCAGTCTTTCCAGCTGCAAATGCTGCCGAAAAGCTGGCTAGCTGGTTCTCCAGGCAGCAAAGCATGAGGTCATCTTGGACCAAGGTTTGTCTCAGGTGCTGATCTCATGCTGAGGTCTAACAATGGGGCAGGCCCAGGTCTCCTGGGAGGTTGGCTGGCTTTGGGAATGTGTTGGGGGAGTGGGGAAAATAAGCCAGGGCATGTTCTTTCCTGGGAGAGCCAGAGGGAACAGGGTGGTACCCACACTGGGTGGGAGCCTGTGCTTTTGCTGTTGCCTTTCTGCTGCGCTGGCAGCTGCACCCCGAGCAGGAGCCTGGCGCCTGGTTGGGATTGCCTGTGGCAGTCTCTGTCTTCCCAGACTGGATGGCCTATAGCAGTCTCAGTCCCCCAGGACAGGACGGCCTGCAGCCATCCACTGGAGCAGGAATGTGTGGCTTTGGCTCCGGAGAGTTTACTGGAAAGAAAGCGTTAACTGGGTGTTGAACCCTTGCTTGTTTCTGCCATTTGTCTGTAAGGTCATTCTTTCCGTGTTAGAGAACTTTGGACCTGGGGTTCTTAAAACTGAGCTTAGAAATGAGGATCTCTCATTCTCACTCTTCTGCTCTCAAACCCTGCTTCCACCCACCTCAGCTTGTTTTTCAGGAAGCTCTAGGAAGGAGGTAGCCAACTCTGTTACCTTTGAGTGGGACCCACCCTCTTGGTTCCTGCCTAAACCACAGCCCTGAGCTGTGGGAGACCCTCTGGACTCAGCTGATTCTGAATCTCCTGTCCCCCAGCCCCCGTACAACTGCAGGTGCAACAGAGGTCATCCTGACACCAAAAGCAGGAAGTACTGGAACACATTTGGTGCTGCTGCTTCTTCATTGCCTGGACACCTCTGCCACTCCTCCTCCTCCTCCTGCTGATCTTGGTCCTGGCAAGCTGGGAGCAGCAACGCCCACAGTGAACGGGTGAATGTTTGCAGAACTCCACACCTTGGCATTGATTATATTTTACAGATGACCTCAAGCCAAGTAATGGTTAAAGAACTTTTATTTATGTATAGTAAAATTTACTTTGCAGTTCTTTGATTTTTTTTTTTTTGGTTGTTGTTTAAAATTTCTGTTTTATTTGGAAACGAGCAAGCAAGCAAGCTTCCTTTGTTAGTTCATTTTCCAAATGGCAGCAACAACCAGAGCTGAACAAGGCTGAAGCCAGGAGCCCAGAAGTCTGGCCAAACTGCCCTGTGAGCCCAGGAAGTGATTAGTAGGAAGCTGGATCTGAAGTGGAGTAACTGAGACACTTAACAAGTTGGACCAAACAAGTTGTTTCAATCCCAGTGGTATGGGATGTGGGCGCCCCAAATGGCAACTTGAGCTGAAGGTCAGCTCCAATTTTTGGCATTTTCATATTCAGAGTCATGGATGTGGCAGCCAGTCAATATCGATTAGTTCTGTCTTGCCACAAATTTTCCTCCCTGTTGCTTGGAGGTGCGACTCTCCTTCCCACCCTTCCCCTGGGAGCCGGAGTTCCACTCAACAAACTGTTCTCTGCCCCTCTGGCTTGATCCTTTCCCAAGTGGTCACATGAACAGCCTCTTTTACTTACAAAGTACATCTGAGCATTCTCCATATTATGTGATATATCCAAGCTTGACTCATTTTTTAAATAATTAAGTAAAAATTTGTTTATTTTTTCCCATGTACTTGAAATTTAGAGCGAGGGGGAGAGAGAATCTCCTGTCCTCTGGTTCACTGCAGATGACTGCAGCAGTTAGGGCTAGGCCAAGCAGAAGCAGCCAGTTGCTTGGAGTTCCCATCCCATGTGGGTGGCATGGATCAAGTCCACAAGATCCCATCCATTGCCTCTCACCATACATTTATATGAACGTGGGTCCCAGCGGAGTAGCCAGGACTGGAGTCTGTACTGGTAAGACATGCTGGTACTGGTGGCTTAACCCCCCTGCCACAGAGCTGGCCCCGCATCTGGTGGTCTGGTGTTTTCCGTTGCAGAGTAGTAGTTCCTATTGCTTGTTGTTTGTTTATCCATGTGCTGCCTGAGGGATGTCAGGGTTTACAGTTTTTGGTGATCGTAGATGAAGCTGCAGTAAGCGTTTGTACGGGTTTGCACGTGAACGGAAGCTTTCATTTCAGTAAGTACTTAGTTTTGAACTGGCTGGATCCTGTGATTCCCCATGTAAGAATTAGAGGTTTGAGTGAAAATAAATTGAGCTCAGCATAACTCACAGGAAAAATCCAGCCTTGACAGCTGCAGTTGAGACTTGCAATGACAGAGATGGCCGTGAACATGGTCTGAAGACGCACGAGATGGTGGTGATAATGGACCGCTCCCTAATGGGATGACATGCTTTATAACCCTGAACTAATCGGAATTAGCCCAAAGTGGAAACAGAAAGCTGCCAAGTGGCCCACCATCCCTTGGTCCCCGCAGCAGTTATTTTGAGTCTTCAGAAACACATGGCAGTGTAAATTTTGCATTTGTCCTCAGGTTCCATTCAACACTGCCCAAAAATGGAATTGAAGCTTTTGAACTGTGATGCCTAAGATTTTGGTTGGAACCTTGGTGGTGTGTAAACAACTTTTTACTTATATTTGATTCACTGACTATTGCAATATTGGTGTATTAATAGGATATTTTCACCTTTTGTATTTTTAAGGAAATTAAAATGTGTATTATCAAAGCAATGAAGAAGAGAGATTTTGGAGCAGTTTTTTTTTTTTAAAAATTTTAGATTTATTTCTTTTAATTTGAAAGACAAATTGACAAAAAGGAGGAGAGCTATATGGAGAGTAAATCTATCTGCTCGTTCATTCCCCACATGGCCACAATGGCCAGAGCTAAGCTGATCTCAAGCCAGGATGGGAACTTCTGGCTCTCCCATGCAAATGCAGGGTCCCAAGGACTTGGACCTTCCTCCATTGGTTTCTTGGGCTGTAAGCAGGGAGCTGGATGGGAAACGGAGCAGCCAGGATATGAAGTGGCACCATATGGGATGCCAGTGTGTGAAGGTAGAGAGGATTAGCCTGATGTGCTACAATGCTGGCCTTTAGGCTAGAAGAATTTATAAGAGTTGAAAGGTCATGGTGGGTAGAGGGAGGAGAGCACAGGAAGTGGGAAGCAGTGTCCATTAGGTGATCATTTTAGCCATTTGACAGACACTTGCTGAATGTTGGCTCAGCAC